TTTTTCCCAAACCCAAGGGTCTGTGGAAAAAAAAAAAAAAAAAGAGGTTAGTTGAGAATTTTTTCTTGTTGCCATGCTGCTGAAATTTTGTTTGAAGCAGTAACAAGTGGTCTGAAGGAGTAAAAATTATAGACAGAACATTACAAATAGGCTGCTATTGCAGTGGTGTCAAAAAGGAAACTAATTTGCAGGTGTAGCTAAGGTAGAGAGTGTTATCTTCCATATGTAGCTCATAGGACTTCCAGAGATGCTCTATATCCCGTTGAGTGGCATCTCTCATGCAGCACAGGGCTATCAAACATCTTTATTATTGGCCAGAGCCAACATATTGCAGGTCCAGCAATAATTACCGTTGTCTTACAGGCAGCATGCTATGAAACAGACCCAGCATCCCAGCCTGCAACGTGTCACCTCACTCTAAATGAAGTATCTCATGTGCTTTCATGGGATTTTGGGGAGACAGGTCTGAGACTGGAAATTACTTGCAGGGTTATTTTCTATTTCTCAGGCTCATTCTGACTATCTGAGATCAGTATCGGATGTTGGGTTACTATATTTTTAATATGATTTGAATGCCCCTAGGGCAAGAGACTTGTAATGTTTGTATTTGTCATGGAAGGGCTTACCTGGGTCTTGCCCACCAGTTTGTAAAACCATCGAGGAAAAAGCAGTTTATGCTCATCCAGAGGGACTCTGAAGCGTGTCCCTGAGCGCAGGAGGTACTGGCCTCATTACCTTCTCCTCGCCATGCATGGTGCGTGAGCAGGTGATGCAGAACAGTGTGTTTCTGAACTCTGCTTTCGGCTGACGGGCTGAACTTTCACCAGCCCTGGAGGTAGGGTGACAGGTGACTTGGATGGAACAAGAACTGAGCAGGGGAAAAGTCAGCCCTTGCCTAGAAGCCTGCTATCACACGGTGAGCAGTTTCACTGGGGAAGAAGGCAGCCCCATCTGCCCTGGCTCTGCCCGGGCCTGTAAGATTGCATTAGCCCGGATCTGCACTCATCCCATCTGGCATAGATGCGTGGCAATGACTGCAGAAGAGCCATGTGATCCCAAAAGAGCACTTTCTCTTCTCATGCCATTATATCCTCGGGCAGTACATGTCCATGCAGCCTCGTGCTGCTAAAAACCAAGTTCAATATGAAAGGCTGTAACAATGTGCACTTAGACATGTGTGTTTGCTCACAGAGTGTAGAGTTATTCTTCATTTAAGCAGGGGTAAATGAAGGGTGAATGAGACTCTTCTTACTCATCCTCAGTGTCAAGTTTGATAGGGGCTCCTTGGCAACAAAGCAGAGATCAGGGCCAGCCATATCCATTGGACATAGGCTTGGCTGTCAAGTACTTTTTTAATGCTTGTTCAAAGCCATCACTCTTCCTCAAGAGATAAGAATGCATCTTTCGGCAATTTAAAGTGTGAGATTCTTTTTCAGTTTTCTTCTTTCCTTTATCAGACTTATCAGACTCCTGTCTGATGCAATATCAGAAAAAATATTCTGAATTTGTCACCAGTGCCTGTTTTTGCCAGCGGTTATGATGCAAAGGTTATTTCTGCTATTACTTTTCCAAAACTTTTCTTCAGTTGTTGGAGCGAAACCAGAGCTGAGATTCTTTAATTCCAGAAGATGTCTCTAGGGAAGAGCAGACCAAATAAAAAGAAAGCATCGTCTCAGTTTTGTTAGCTCAGTTTCAGTACTGGTCTGACCATGTTATTTATGGATAGATGAGGGTTAAGTCTGGAAAGGAAGAGTATGATTTTTTGGATAATACATAGTATAAATATCATAGCGATAGAAGTTGGGTTCCAGGGAAACACAGTGATATTCCTATCTAATATTTTCTTTCATCAGCAGAATATTTGATTGAAGAGGAGAAATGTTTTCCTTCTACTTTCCACATTAATAGTGTAGAGCAAAATTTTCCATTGATTATATTTTTACCCCCCACTGGTTAATAGGTCTTGTCTTCTCTCGCTGGTGATATGAATAGTGGGGCACGTAGAAGTCTGCTCAGCCTCGTCCTTTTTGTTGTTTCACATGCTCCCCTTGTGTTTACCTAGCTTTTATGGCTACATCCTCTCTGTCTCTTCGGCAGCAAGGCTTCCTGGGGCACGGACTATCTCAGTTCCCCATCTGCAGCACAGGGAGGCTGTGGGGGACTCCGAGTTCCTCTTGTGGCAGCAGTAAAAATACACAAACCGGTGACTGCTCTTCTTCCTCACATCACATGGCTGCATTTTCTTCTCAGCCACCTACTACTGGGACAGCTCAATGTCAGCAGTTGTTTCCTTGATAAGCATTTTGTTTCAAGAGCTAAAAAACAATAGGATCTTCAGAGAGATTCAAGGACCAGAAGAGCTCCATGAATCTTCCTACCAGAACACATAATTTCAAGCAAACAATAACGCGTCCCGTAGTTTATCCAGGAACAAAGCTCTCATTAAAGCTGTTTTTGTTTGGTGTCCACAATGCTGCTTGGTTTGGCAGCTCCTTTGGGGTGATGCACTCTTCTGTTAGAGTACAAAAAGGCCGTTCAGCATCTGCCAGTTTTAGAGCCTGGGACTGAGAGGATCTTCCGCTGAGGATTTACTGCTGGACTCTTTCCATATTGTGCTGCAAGGAGTTGAAATTCCCTGAACACTGCAGATTGTCCCCTTGATTTGCAGGGAGCAATTTCCTGCAGTAAGTTACTACTTCGTGCAAATGATGCACCTTCTGCCTACATCTGCAGTGATGGTGAATGTTGTGTGTTGTAAAGAAATTGGCTCAAGAGGGAGAAAGAGAAAGACCTGAAAGGGGTGGCAGGATGACAGTGAATAGAGAGAAACAGCTAAAAAGTTTTTGGTGGCTGTGCACAGAGTCCTCCTTCTGGTCACCAATAATTCACAGGTCCCCAGATCACAAGAGCTAGGCTTGAAGGACTAGTAATTGTAAGCACTTGGAGAACAGCAGCAGCAGTGATCGCAAGGCCAGGAGCAAGGTGAAGAGAGACATGTCCGAGGGTGAAAGAAGACTAAACTCCATGTATTGTCGTTCTGGAGAGGTATAGGGGAGTTTGAGGAGAATTGGCCAATTTGTGCACAGTAGGCCACCATGAAGGTTAAGATGAAAGGTGAGAAGCCACCTGTGCCCTGGCTGTAGCTAACTGGAGATGCTACTATCTCTTGCCCTCCCCTAGCTTGCCAAGAACAGCTTTGGCACCCATGGCTCTGAAGAAGGTGGAGCAATGGATGCTTGTGGGGATTGAATGGCCTAGAAGAACCCTGGACTTCTCTAGTCAGGGAAGTGACCTTACAAATTAAGCACTAGGAGCTCTGGCTCTGGTTCTCCTGTGTGCCTCCCAAGCTCCGTCCTGCTCTGTGACCCTGTGTGCCCTACATAGCTGCTGGGAAGCTGAGCAGTCTTCTTGCAGATTCAGTACACTTCTGCCTCGTTCCTGAGACTAGATCTTTGAGAAGCCTGAATGGTGGTGGGTTGCTGGGCTTCAGGCTCACACTACTGCATTTAATGAGTTGAGAAGCAAATCTCCAGTAGAAGGAGTTTAAAGGGCAGAGATGCTTTGCAAAACATCAGTATAAAGTAGTATAATGAAATTCCCTCCCAATAGTATCCAGGTCAGGATGCTGGGCACTTTCAGCAGCTTGAAACACTCAATTTCTGTTCCATAGCGAAATTTGATACCTATTTTTTTCTGAATGAGAACCAAAACGAAAGAGCATTCAGTGGTTTTAGGATTTCTTTTTTGTGGAAAAAGCTTGGGCCCGTTATGGTAAAATTCTGTTCCAAGCTGAACTTTTCGTATTAGCCTTGTATCAAATGAACTCGATATAAGATGCTATATTATAAAATAATGAGTTGAAAAAAAAAACAACCCAACAAGGTGAAAAGTTGTGTCAAAATGAAAAAGTGTTGCATTCACTCCACGTGAATGAAGTAAGTGGTTTTTTTCTGGTGTAAAAATGTTCACATTTTTCCCAAGTTGACATTTCCCAGAGAAAGCTTTGGGTTTGATGAAATGACATGGCAGCATTATTTTACTACTCATTTACTTTCTTCCTGCTAATAAAATTTGAGACTTGTACATCGATTTGTATGTTGTTACTGATAAATTGTTACTGAAACTTTGTTAGATTCTCTTCACCCTTATGGTATACCTTATCTCCTACCCTAGAGTCATGTTTTACCAACAGAAGTGAAAAATAGAAGAACGTGTGCATGCCATGTACACGGACAGTTTATTCAATAATAGGAGGGTGTCATTTTTTTTGTCTAACTTTTCTAACCACAGAAGAGTTCAGGGCTTTCAGGCACACAAAACGGAATATAGACAAAACTATCCAGACAGAAAAGTGTTACTGTGTGTGGACAAAATGGCACATTTCTTCAGACATCTCTGGAGATATACTGTGCCCCATTCTTAATATCCTGTCCATGTTTTCAGTTCTTTCAATCGGAAATCAAATAAATACTGACAACTTAGCCCTGAACAAGCAACTACCATAAAAAATTGGAGATCCTATATCTAACTATTTTGTAGCTAGCAAATAAAAAAAGCCAGAACCTTCATTGTTTGTAAACACTTCTGTAAACAGCAGTTTAGCTTTCATGCTTTTGTGTATAATTTATGTTTTATCCCCTTCCCTGCAGTACTTTTTTTCCACCTGCCACTAAGAGACAGTCCAGTTCAGCAGTATACTTCCAGCAAAAATATCATCTCAAGCAGGCTGGTTTTATCCGATTTAGCAGATCAGTATCCCGAGTTCTTTAGTCAATATTCATTTCAAGCTTGTAGCTCAGAATATATTTTTCTTTCCTAGTGTTGAGCTAGTGTCTACTTAAACTAGCCAGAGGCCAAAACTTGTACACAAACCTAAGCTGTTTTAGAAGCCCTTCCAAATAAAACAACAATTTGACATGTTGAGCTTGTACTGCCAAGTTGGGGGGAAAAAAAAACCAGTTTGTCAAAACAATTATATTTTTACATAGCCACAAGAACACTCATTCAGTTCGTATGATACTACATTGCCAAACAAGCTCCAGTTGTCTTTGAGAAACAAACAGTGAAGGACCAGCAGAGCAGACTTGTGAGTAGACTAGTTTTTGTCAATAGGTGGATCCTGTTTTTATCCTCTTACTTTTACCATGCAGCCACATAATTTCTGAGACAGGGAACAGGTATTCCTTCTGTTCTCTCTGTATCTCCCACAGCTGACGTGGACAGATGAATGAGCAGGTTTCCAAGATTTGCTACCTTTCTCTGCCCCTCTCCCCCCTTTCTGCTTCATAACATTGGTTGTTTTCTCGTGGTTTTTACCTTGGTATAAATATTGCATTAAAGTGATGGAGCTGGCAGTTTCTGAGAGCAGATTCCCATCAGAGGTGTCAGGAAATAAGAGCATGTTTGGGGCCAGACCACTGCAAGCCTCTTGCAGGTATGATTTGTTTAGGCGGTAGAATATCATAGTGCCGACAGTGAATGATGCTTGGTGGAAATAAGCAGAGCTAGGAAGGCAGTATCACCAGTATCTGCCATTTATACCTGTGGTCTCTCCCACACCCATCTTCCCTCATGGGGAAACAGGGAGGAACATTTCAGTCTGTTAACCACATGTGTCATCAGTGCCCGTGCTGTTTTGCATCTGCAGTGGAGCTTGTCCTGAGTAAACTGGGGAGGTTTCCTGTTCAGGTCACTCAGAGCACACGTATCATATTGAAGGGCGTGAGGGGAGGTAGTGGCAGGCCCTTTCCTTCTCCAGTGAATCCATGCCAGCTCATAACTAGGGAGGTTTGTATCTGGACTCCATACAGATCTTGTTTGGTTTCCTTCAACAAAATAGGTTCTTCCTTCCCAAAATAAGTTCTGCTTGTTGATTTCAGATCGATGGGGCAGCAACAAAATGAGGTTACCCCTTTGTTGGGTTTTGTGCCGGTCTCGCATCTAACAAGCCGCCTTTTTTTGCCTCTACAGATCCCTGTCGGTACTGAGATTGAAGGGATGAATATCCTGGGACTGGTGCTGTTCGCTCTGATTTTAGGAGTGGCGCTGAAAAAGCTTGGCCAGGAAGGGGAAGATCTGATTCGCTTCTTTAATTCATTCAATGAGGCAACTATGGTCTTGGTTTCCTGGATTATGTGGTAAGTGTGTGACTGCAGATGCATCTGCACTACAATACTATGCTCAGTTCAGGAGTCTCACCATTTATCCATCTCTCCAGCTTTTTCCTACCAGATTCCTCATCACAGCAAAAGTGAATGTCATGGTGTCACACGTTGGGGTCTTTTTTTCTTGCTTGTGCCCTGTAGTTAGACAGTCACGCATAGCTTAAGGTATCAGTCTGGAACACTTCAGAGGGTTGCTTAAAAATCATCTCCAGGACTCCTTTTTGATTAATTAGCGGAAAGGCGGCTTTCTATTTCAAAGCAGCATAAGCTCATGGCTAGCTGCCATCATGTGCCTAAAGGCACTGGCTTTGAATGAATAAAGGAGATGTGAGCAAGTGAGGAATATGGTCATGTGAAGGCCAGGGATGTTTGTGCTTGGAGTGCACTTGCAAATGCAGTGCGTAACTAAAATCATACTTGTAGTCTTGTAGTTTCATGCCTTGATTTTTCTGTTGGTCAAAAGGTTACTTGTACTCACCTGAAAGATATCCGAGGAGATCAGAAGATAGCCCATTCACTGGCATTGGTTTGAGAGAAACCCTGTTGAGTGCATGAATACAGAACCCCACCTGTCCACTTGCATCAAAGGGTGATGGAGAACCTACGTCCCTTTGTATAGAAGGGAGGAACAGTCTCCAGGGCAATGCTCTGCATCCTACTGAAACAGTAGTGCTGGCTATTGAGTGTTTTGTCATTGTTATCAGCAGAGCCTGAGTTATACATTGGATCTTTAAATCTCTGTTCCTCTTCTACAATCTCTTTCATTTTCTTGGGTGAAGCAGGAACTAATGTTACTAGCAGAGCGATCAGCTGTTTCTTGTTTGTGCTTGCTTTTCCAGAGATGCTTCTTTTTTCCATTTCACATCCCTGAGAATAGGTATTTCCTAAAGTTGATTGTTTATTTGGTCTCCTGCCTATTAATGAACAAATCCATTATTTCACTTACTTCCCTGGAGTCCAGACATGTTTATGGGGTGAATGTTGCTCTGACCAATCTCACAAAGCTTTTGGCACCAAAAAAAGTCTGTATGTTAGGAACTGGAGCGCACTGAACTTTTTCACTAGGCAAGAAACCAGCATTGGAGGAGGCAGGCACCTCTAGAGAGCGGTTCAGGCCACCTAAGCTGGGGTAGGACCAGCCTCCTGACAGGATTTTCTGTCAGGTGGGATGAATCTGGGCCTCAGAGCAGTATCATGCTGTTCTTGTGCAGCTGGATGGGTCTAGGCTGCTCCTGTGAAACCAACAGTATTAATACCTCACATACAAAAATAAAAATATTCATAAGGACAGCTAGCTAACAAATTATCAGTGGGACATTTCTCACTCCCTTTCCAAAGCTGTTGGAAAAGCTATAAGCTTACCTTAGCAGAGGTATTTTTCCTCCCTTCATTCTGCATTTTTCATTCCTACTATTTTCCTCCCTCTAAGAAGTAGAAAGGTTTTAACAAAACACCTGGTTTTACACAGGCAGATCTCTGTCTTATTTGCTGTCATAAGGGATTGAAAAATTCAAAGTCTCAAAGCAGCTTAAGTTTTCCACTCTTGAGTGTAATTCCTTGGACACTGAATACTGATAAGAGGCAGTTCTTGTATTCAGCTGATTACAGTGCTAACACTTCAAGCCAATCGGTACATAATCCTTTACTTTGTGGATTATCGGGACTACAGCTGACTCTTAACACTGTAGTGCACCGTAGCCCTTACTTGTTCTCTTTCCTTCCTTAAGGCTCTTGTGTCATCCTGGTATTTACTCAAAATCTGTCAAGCTGTATGTACTTCCCAAAGGATACTTCGGAATGGGTGAAATCATACTACCGAGAGACAAAGCAGCTTGAGCTCGTGTCTAGTCCCATTCAACAGCCGCTCTCGTGTTTAGCAGCACTTTGGTCTCAACTTTCAGTTCCTTCCTCTCCAGCCTCCCTCTTCAAGGGGAGGGATCCAGTCTCAGCTCTGAATCCAGTGTTCATGTTTGCAGAGCTTATGCAGGACCGGGGCTCAGCTAGACCTGGCTAATCGGGGTGCTCAGAAACATAGTTCAAAGGCAGTATGTCACAGAATTGGCAGAGGCTAAGTGGGGAAGGTTCAGCAGGCCTGCCTAGAGATTTGGCCAAGGGACGACAGAGAGAGGATGCTCACATTGATCTGGGACATAAGGAGGTGCTCTCTGCACAGAACAGAGCTGCAGAACCACTGAGGGAGAGGCAGGCTAGGAAGAAGTGAGTGATCTGGGCAACCTTAAGGCTTGCCCACCTTTCCAAACCTTTGCATGCTTAACCAAACCTTCTGAAGTTTGTCCTGACTCCACAGATCAGCTTCTTTGAACAGGGACATTGGATTGGAGGGGAGAGTGGGAGAAAAAACATTCTTTATTCCTGAGATGTACAGGCAGATCTTTTGTAGTCACATGTGTGCCTGGGGCAGAGTTTTGGAGAGCTGGGTGATCTTTTAGTATTTCTTAATCTTAGAAGCAGAAATGGATGGAGCACGGACAGCGTCAGCAGAGGTACTCGGACACAGACATCCCAAGTAGAGCTTTGGAAGAACTGACCCTGGGCCTGAAGTGATTCCTGCAGTTCATTTAGTAGCTGTTGTGCTGTAGGTGCAAGGGCAATTCTGTCTTTTTAGGGCTGTTCCCAGCTGCACTACTGGAACCAGAGGTGTGGCTGTGGCCCGCAGGTGGCCTTTCCTCTGGAGCAGCTCCAAGTGTTCTGACAAAGGAAACCTCAAACAAATGCTGACGTCCTAAGACGTGGCACGTTTCTAGATCGGAGGCATGGGAATGTACGTGTACGTGGCTGTTGGCTTGAGGGAAACTCTGGAAGCCTGATCATTTAACTTAGTCTTTTGTAGGCAAATAGCAGAGATAACTGCTATCTTTGGCACATGCATCAGCAGCTGTTAGCTGAGCTCTCTGGTATGGGCATAGCTTTTACTTTCCTACACTGAATATGTTGGCACCCAGTATGTCTACCATTTTAATGACCTAACTTCATACTTCTGGTAGTCACCACGTGTGTAAGATCCTACTCTTCCACCCCTTTCTCTGCTCCAGTGACATGATACTGCTCCTTTTTCTTTCTTACCGTCTGCCGTCCCTTCAACAGTGACTTTAGCTTTAGGTCTTTGCCTGCCTTCCTCCCTGATGGACTAAAACTCCACACCGGTGTCTTGTCCTGATAGCTTCTGCCAGCATTTCTGCTTCCCACTTGGCTTCCCTTCGGCACTCTCCTACCTGTGTCTTTGAGGGCCTAGGCAGAGATTTTTTCAGTTTGACTGCATGCCTTCCAACAAGCAAGAGTGTTAGAGAGGCCTTCCAAATTTGCTTAACCTGAGTGTGTGGTGAATAAGGCGCTACCCTTCAGTAGGAGCAGCGTATCCTTTAGAAGGATATTATTATGTCCAGGATGGAAGATGTCGTATTTTTCAAGGCTTTTTATTTGTACTTAATGACAGGCAGTATTTTTTTACACAGGTATGTACCTATTGGCATTATGTTCCTTGTTGGGAGCAAGATTGTGGAAATGGAAGATATTGTGCTTCTGGTGACCAGTCTGGGAAAATACATCTTCGCCTCTATTCTGGGCCACTTCATCCATGGAGGAATCATTCTGCCGCTTATTTATTTTGCATCCACACGTCAAAATCCGTATCGTTTTCTCTTAGGACTTATTACACCACTTGCCACTGCTTTTGCCACTTGCTCCAGGTGGGTTTCTGTGCTTCTTTTGGGATTATAGCCTGGTTATATTTGTCACTGTAAACTGGTTATATCCCAACACCAAACTGTGTTGAGGTTTAGGTGTGAATATTGTTCCTGAGATTGCAAAAAGAGACTTCTGAGCGTAGAGAGTCTCACTGCTGTCAGCAGCCTGCCGCACAGCACATACTGATAATTAGCTGTTGAAAACAATTCCTCAAAATACGGGGACTATAGCATGATGCTGAGTTGGAAATTTTTTTTGGGAAAGGTGAAAGTAGTTGCCTTAAAAAGATCCTGCCAGCTGTCCTTTCAATTTTAAGTAAAGTGAGGGTCAGTAGTGAGGGGCTTTGTCCTGACAAGTTTAGTTCTCCAAGTTCAGAAGGATCTGGAACAAGTTTAGACTAATTTTGCAGGAGAAAAGCAGACTTATTAGCTAGTTTAAAGGGACTTAACATTAATGAATTCAAAGATCTGGCCTGATCAGCTTTTATTTGTCATAACCAAACTATCAAGCATGTCATTTACACTTTTCTCAAGGGGCAAACACCTGATCAGATATCATAACTACATAAAATCATTTCAGGTCATCTGCAAAAGTAGATGCATGTCTGTCACAGGAGCTGAAGTACATGAAGTAGGAGAGGGTTTATGAGTAAAACCATGTAATTTATAATGCAAGAAATAAATCCAACAGTGGGGTTTTTTTTTATTATTATTTGTCTGTTCATTTGAGAAGGTACTAGTACAACATTAACAGAGATTGCTGTTGCATCTGTGTGTTTATATAGGCATCTGTTGGTGTATTTTTGTGGTTTGAGACTTGATCATTCCACAGCCCTGTTAGGCTGCATACTGTGTTAAGTCATGAGTTCTTGCTTCTGGGAGATTAGAGTCCTTATCAGCTATTTCTGGATGGAAGCAGATCATTAAATACTGCTGCTCAAGACCAACAAGGAGGGTCCCTCATTGCTATCATGGCAGAGAGGGACTATAAGATGGCATCATTGTCTTGACAGTCCTGTCTGCAGCATGTTAGAAACATGAAAGCCATGAGACAGTGACTTTCCATTCAGTGCACCCTGATGCTTTGGGTTTGATTTTTTCCCTATTCTCTGTTTCCAGCTCAGCCACTCTCCCATCGATGATCAAGTGTATTGAAGAGAACAATGGAGTCGACAAGAGGATCAGCAGGTTTATCCTTCCTATCGGAGCGACTGTAAACATGGATGGAGCTGCTATTTTTCAGTGCATGGCAGCTGTGTTTATTGCTCAGCTGAACAATGTCGACCTCAACCCTGGGCAAATCTTCACAATTCTGTAAGTTGCTTGCTATTGCAACCACATCCTTATGGCCCCCAGACACATTCAAGCCTGTGGTCTCTCTGTTAATAGCTAGCAGTTTGCATTCCACATCTCTGACCTAAAGCTTGCAAACTGCTATGAAACATAATTATAGGGTGATTAAAGGATGGAGTCTTTCAAGCTTTATAAGATTTGCCAGAATCTCGATTTAATAAAAGGTGGAACCTGGGAGGAGTAATTGAATTCTGAAACAGACTTTGAGCTGTTTAAAGCTGTTTCTCACACAAAATTCCTTTCCTTCCTTAAGCATCATCTCACTCCCCCACCCTCCACTCACCATTAAGCTGGGTAATTGAGGCATGCTGCTCTACCCGGAAAGCCACCCCTGATTTTCCCCCTCTGGATGTCTTAGAAAATCCTCCTGCCAGCTCCTCAGTTCCTTATGTATCAATTTCATACTGAAGACACTGCTCCTGCTTACCTCTGCCCTTCCTACCATCGCATCGCTGGCTTCCCAGGTCAGACCCATTATCATTCCCCTCCTGACTGCTTTGCTCCATTACCTCCTCCACCACCTCAGTCCTGCCTCCTTCTCTAGGACTCTGTCCCCTCTATGCCTGGAATATCCTCCCATGTCCCATATCCCATGAAGTGTCATTCTCTTCATTTCCCTCCTCAAAATCCCTTAAGTGAGGATCCTACAAGGAGTTGTAGCCCCTCACTGTGCGAAGAAGCCATAGCTGTATCCACCAGATGCCTCCTAGGGCTGGTTCCTGGCATTTTTTCACCCTCCCTGGCCAGGTTTTATTTCCTTCCTTATTGCATTTCACAGTATATTGTTTGTCTATTTAAGGCAGGGCTGGGGCATTATTTTCTTGGCAGATTGCCAAATTAGCCTTTTGGGTGCTCTTAGTGAATCAGATGTTAACACAGGCCAGAGGATTATGCAGTGATAGTCCAAGGAAAACTCAGTTGTAGACATCTGCACACAAAAAGGTGTGGGGTCCATGTCTGTAGCACATGCACCGCAGGTTTCCAGCTCCTGATTTAGGGTCTGTGTTTGAATGCAAGCGATACACAGAGAAGGGACAGAACCCTGCATGGCAGGGTTTACCTTTATACATTTGGGGCCAGGAGATGTAAGGTACTCAGCATACGTGAACTGATACGTGACTTGGAAATGGATATATTAGTAAGGCAGCAGGATATAGTTGTGTTGGTTGGGGTTTTTTTTTTCTGAAAAGGCCATAGTGGTATTAAACACAGAGCCATTGCCTTGGTAGCTGCTGTGGATGCCTGCTGAGCAGCTGTGCTCTGTACCCATTACTTTGCATCAGCAGGCAGGAAAGGGTTTGCCTGGGAAGCAAATGATCTGTGTCCCATGCTGTAGAGTTTGTTTACAATTCCCATAGCGGGGAAATGTGTGATGTAACTGTAGAAGAGGAGTGCTGCGGAGCTCCTGCTAACCGTGTACGCAAATTGATTTGCAGTGTGACAGCTACCGCATCCAGTGTGGGTGCAGCCGGGGTCCCAGCCGGAGGAGTCCTCACCATCGCTATCATCTTGGAGGCCATTGGACTTCCGACCAACGATCTCTCCTTGATATTAGCGGTGGACTGGATTGTGTAAGTACTTTAGGCCACACGTGTCTGCTGTTGCATGACATGCAGCATGTTCAGCTGGAAGCATGGGGCAGGGTAGTCAGAGTAGCGCAGTATAAAATAAAACCCTACAAGATATGGCTGCTTACAGGACAGGTAACTCTTGACAGATAATGGAAAAGGTGGTCCCTTCTCAATTAAAGCAGTTAATATGCTAAAATCCCTCTTCAGCTTTTTTACTCAGCCTTTACTGAAACGTATTTCTTCCTGGTTTCAATTCCCTTTAGAAGGATTGATAAAAGTTTGTTCAGAAGGTGTTGATATTGCTGGAAATTAGTTGGACACTAGGAGGGAAGGGGGAAAAAGGAAATTGAGTCTGAATAGTGGTGCAAAGCTTTCTTGGTCACATGTGGGAAGCAGTCTCCATCAGAAGCTGTTGTCAGCTATTGTTTGAACTATTTTTATAGTTCAAGACTGGTCAAAGCACCAACACAAGCGTCACAGAGAAGTGCCATCCATTGGCAGGGCAGGGACACAGAGGGTTTGTGGCACTCATCACAGCTGTGCGCAGTGTCACAGCTGGAACACGCTGCTGGGAGTCACAAGTTTAGTATACAGTATTACCACCTTTCCTTTCCATCTTCTGGGAAAGAGATAAGAGGTCAGACCTTTGCTCAACTCCTTCTCTTCTTTCCAAGAGCCATTCCCCTCCTTGAAACATGAGAGATTATCTCCTTGCCTAGCTCTGTTTGGAAGAGCTTATCTCACCACTTAACATAGTTATGTCCTTGTTAAGGCCTAAATTCACCCTCTGTACCACCTAAATTAGATTAAGGAAAACCTAGAAAGTTTGTTTTGCTTTAAGTATTGAGGACCCAGCCACAAGTGCATAAGTGTGAATGCCACATGCAGGTGACTTCTTAGAGCTTAGATGAGCCCCGTGGAAAAGGGTGTCTCCGCTTTTCCTCGAACAAGCCTGGCTGGCTGCTGTTCTTCCAATAGTAGAAAATCAAACTGGAAGGACTTCTCTGAGCACTCATGAATTACAGCATGCTTAGAGTTTAAATGCTAGTGAAGTAAGCGTGATCTGATAATTTAAAAGCATAATCTGCTTTCAAGCCATCTGGTTGAAGTTGGGTAGTGGGCTGAAATGACTGGTCAGTATGGGTCAAGCGAACTGAATCCCATTGGGGTTTTTTTCCAGTTGGTGGGTTTCTGGGCAGTTCCTGGTTTAAACTGTACATAATCCCTCTTCATTGCTTTTTGGGAACACCAGCCTCTCTGTATAGATGGTGTACTTCCACAGCAGATGTGGAAATTAGGATGCCTGAGAACACTGTTGAATTCCAGAGGCTGGGGAACACGGCAGCAGTATTACCTCCTCCTCTTCCCACATCACACGTGTCTGTGGAGCACAATCATATTCCTACAGCTTCAGCTTCATTAGGGCCATCAAACTCTTTCTTGCTGTCACCTCTTGGGGATCAGCCACCTCCAAAGGACAGGAGAGACAGGCAAAGCAGTGGCTAGCTCTTTGTATCCCATCTTCCTCAAGGATTAAAGCAGTAGCTGTGCTTTCCACAAGCTGTACTCAACAAGCGTAGCTGTGCTTTCCACAAGCTGTACTCAAGTGCCTGGAGGCAAGAGTGAAAAGCTTGCCCTTCCTTTCACTCTGGGCTGCCCTCAGCCTGTGTTGTGCTGGCTGCCTTCATTTCAAAATATGTAGCACCCCTCTGTGGTCAACACTGTTGTTCTAGTCAAGGAACTCAGCCTCGTGGTAACAAAAGGGGGAAGGAGGGAGTCCCATGTCTTGTTTTAATGCCAGCCGTTTAATTACCAGAGGACCACAGTTACAAGTTGAGCACATGTTGAAGTTAGGCTGCAGAATGACTTAACAGAAGTCTCAGACGGCACATGAAGAAATTGTTCTTTATGGCCCATAAACCTCCTCTGTTAGACCCTGGGACACAGTAGTTTTGTGTTGTGGGACCAAAGATTAGGACAGGTGCTACTAGCAAGAAATCCAGAGAACACAGTCATTCTGCCTGCTTTTGGAAGGACCCCCTAAGTAGGTGTTTGGGTTAAGGTACGAGTCTCTATAGTTAAAAAAGAGAGCTGGGTGCTCTGATTCACCTTCTGGATAAGCCCAAATTAAGTTTCTGCTCTGAACTCGCATTTGAAAAATGCTGGCCTGGGGAAGAGAAGGAGGAAGGAGGTGGGCTGGGAAAAGAGAGATGCCTGAGAAAGAGTAGTACCATTGCTGCAACCCACCGAGAGACCGGAACCAGTTGATAGTAACGGTTGGGCCAACCTTAAACCAGCTCCAGTGCACATTTTTAGTTCTGAAATGGTGATGATACTTCTGTGGAAAATACCTGTGGTAACAACATCTCCTTTGTCTAGCTCCACTGATGTTAGTGGATCAGCAGGGGTGAATCAGCTCCCCTTATTGTGTTGTAACTCTCCTAAGCTAAAAGCATGCTGCTTTATTTTTTGTTTCTGATCTTAACCAGGGACCGAACCACCACAGTTGTGAATGTGGAAGGGGATGCCCTAGGAGCGGGCATCCTTAATTACCTGAATGAGAAAGAAAAGAAAGACAAAGAGCAGGAGCTAAAGGAAGTCAACGTAGAAGCAGTTGCTAACAGCAAGTCTGAAGGGGAAACATCGCCTTTGGTAACCCACAAAAACCAAGTCTCCAACGCAACCAGTACAGCAGACCCTGAATCCAAGGAATCAGTATTGTGAACTAGAGGCCGTTCGTCAACATGCATCCTAGAGGTGGACCGGGGACTTGTTAACGCACCTAGACATTTGCAGTGCTAACAAGGGCTGGATGGCTCTTGAAAGTTTTCAGTTCCAGTCTGTTTTGAAATATGCTGGCCTGGGGAAGGGGAGGGAGGTGGGGTGGGCAGAGAAGGGGTGTTGAGAAAGAACACTAGCTTTATGATAGTATTTTGATAATTCATCTGTATACATGTATATGTGTTCCATGTGCACACACATATACATGAAAACTGCCATTGAGACTTTTGGTTTAACAAGACTTCTGTTAGTAAATGCTCATATGGTTTGGAGATGGGGAAGTAGACAAACCCAGTATGTGCTTATGGTGGGGAAAAATTAGTAAGCTTATTGTGCTGCTGTTCGAATGGAGATGCAGTCTAGAAACTCCAGAGTGGGTGAAAATGTTGCTTAAATTTAGTTTCTGGCCTGGAAACACTTACCGACCATTACAGACACGATATGAAGCAACATTTTTCTCCCACTCTCCTTCCCCTCCTGTTCTCCGATCCCTTAAAAATGTCAAATATATCCTGAAAACTAGCCTTTTCTTTTCTTTTTTTAATTTTTTGTTTCATATCTGTATTAATAGCTTATAGGGGTCCGACCCTTGTTCCATTCCCCTACTTCATTGCAGCTCATAGCAGCTTTCCTGCCTTTTGGTGAGTAACTCCCAAACTTTGGGACCAAACATAGGAGATCTTGCAGATCAAGGACTGGTTTTCTCTTTTCCTCTAACCAAGCTGTTAAGGAAAAAATCCAGAGGAAACACAAATTTTGTTAAAGTAATCCCTCTGGGGCTGAAAAAAATGTAGTCTGTTCCAGCATAAATATGTCTGAAGAGGCTTGCCTGTGACAACATCAAGAAATCAAGAAGTCAGTTCCCTTCATGAAAACACGCATGCTCCTTTCCTAGCACACCATGTCCTGCTCATGTTTGTTTAATGGGTCAGTCCAAACAGGTTAAGTCATATCCCTCTTCTAGCAAAATTCAACAGGAGAGGAAAAAATCTGAACACATATCATGTGGGAACTGACAACAGGCAAGTCTGAGTGTTGGCTTGAAAGAAGAAGTGAGTGTTTAACACTGTGTAGTTCAGTCATCTCTGTGTGTTGGGACAGCTGCATACCTGTTCCTGCTAGGAGTTTGGTCCTGCTATAAAAGTCCTTCTGGCAGCAGCTTACATTTAGTAATTCTGGGTGGTGCTGGGCCAGGGTACTGCTTAGCGGCAGATGGTAACCTTTGCTTGAGGCTGAGCCAAATGCTTCTGGATTCTAACTCCACCTTTTTTCCTTTACAACATACTTCCTGAATTTGTACCCCAAACGTGAACAAAATCCGGCAAACTCATTGCAAAGATCCTGTTGATTTATCTTGGCTTTTTGGACAGCAAATAGTTACAAAATTATCGCTGTGCATGTGCCAAGATTTGCCTGGGCTTGTGACACTTTCCCTTGGCTATTTTAGGAAGATGATTGCATATGGTCAGTCTCCACACTGTTAATTCAGCAATATATATTTACACTTAGCTTTGATATAAAGTAATGCTAAGTCTCCCTTTTTCTTTCTCCCCTCTTGCTTCAGAGGAAGCTATCTTGGAAAGATATCCAGTTGCTGATGTTTATGTTCACGGCACTAGGAAGAGGCAGCTCCAATTTCATAGCAGCAGCAGCCTTCATTTGCAAAGCATCCTTCCTGGTAAAGGGACGCAGTGAATTTTGCAAAAAGACGCTCAGAATGAGATGTGGCTACCTCTGAGGGAAAACACAGTGAGTGCGTCATTACTAGCTGTTTAATCGTGTGCAGCAGGGCTATGCAAACAATCGAAGTAGGAAAGGATTAGTCAGCCCACTGAGAAACTGCAGGTGGAGTTTCTTTTTAACCAGTTTATTTATAACCATGTCCACAAAATTTGGTCATTCCTTGACTCGTCTCCAAAATGGAAGGAGACAAACACAATTCTCTAGGGACATCCTTTGCCCAGTATTTATTATTGCATTTTTAGCAGATCAAGACCCACTGAAACTTTGCATTTCCTCCCATTTAGAATCATCCCAACTCCTTTCAACTCAGGAAACCAAAAGCGCACTTTGTAGCTGACAATGAAAGTCAACAAATAAGAGGTGGTTTGAAAAATGTTGGAGGTTTGAAAAAATGGTTCTCAACAAAACCTTTTTTCTTTTTTTTTTCAAAGAAATACTTAGACTTGTTTTAAAAATCTGAATGCACCAGCACCCCAAATACTTTGATTTTAAAGCAGTATATGGATGTCTCAAGGAAGCTGAAAATCATGACTGTTCCCTGTGGGCTGGGTTCTGTAGTTGCATTTTATCCCCCATCAGACTTTTAGCCCCTCTGATATTCTCCTTCACCATGACACATGCAGCTGGGATCAGGACATGAGAGCAGGCAGCACTCAAATGACAATTCCCATGAAGCATCACGGCACCATTTCGGACTAGAACATTTCTCAATTTTTATTTTTTTCACCCCAAAGCTGTTGCCCACAGGTAAAAGTACTTGCCTGGGCAAGTCCGAAGGCTGGGCTTCCTCGCCGGCAGCACCTTGCCATTGCTGTATTGATCTTTCTTCCCTGTGGTGCTGCCGCTTGAATGCGCCTTGTCCTTGTAGCAGCGTGCCATAGGCTGTGGCACATTCTTTCTGACAGTAGATCCCAGGAAATGGTAAATTAAAGCCAATATCTCAGAGTCTTCTTAGTATTTTCCAATAGCAATGCAGAAGCTCAGTGTCTTTGCTAAAGATTGCCTCTCCCAGTCCCTGCTAGTGGATTGCCACATTTTGTGTCAATGTGAATGTCTAGTCCCATGTAAAGCTTGTTAGAGCAGTCAGATTTAAGGAGGTCAGATCATTCTTGTAGCAGGAATTTAACCAAGGAAATCTAACACTCCTTCTCCTGGAAACAGGTGCCATAGGGTTTGTATGAACCATGAGTATTCAGGTCTTAACCTGCCAGAAATCTGTAATCTTACAGAAGCCCTACTTTAGACTTACAAAGGTGCCAGTTCTTTTGTTGTTCATGCACAGCAAAAGGGATCCCAGAGTTTTCCGTGGAAGCAGGAACGCTGGGTAACTACTGCTTGTCAGAACATCTTCTTGGTCTTTTCTGTATCATCATCTGTGTCAGAAATTACATTTCTTGTTTTTCTGTGATGTTCCCATTCCTCACGATGGCCATGCCGCATCTTGTAGGGCTCACCTGGCTTCAGATTTTTTTTTCTTAACGTACAAATGTAAAAGATCCAATATTACACACTCTCGGACTGTAAAAAATGTGGCACATTCCAACAACTGCCCTTGTAACAACATGAATCCTGATCGAAAGCCCGATGAGATAGAAGACTTGCCATTTGCTTCGAGTGGTCAAGGTCTTCAGATAAGGCCACTGGGAGAAAAATGAAAGGGCTGTTGAAGGATGTGCATTTTAGATGCTATCCTTGACCTGCAGTGCAGTGTGTTACACTGGGAGCTTCCTATTTCAGGTCCCCGTGCAGCCTCACTCCAAGAGGCTATGAGCTGAGAAGGTACTCAGCAGCAGTGCCGGTGCAGCCAGTCGTACCAGCTCTGCTCTCACTCAGGCCACAAATCTGGTGCCAGTGTGGTACTTAACTCCAATGTCTCTTGACCAGACGTATGTTTATGTTCTCCTAACATGACTGTAAACTGGAAACATTTAATCAGTTGCTTTTTCTTTCAAGAGGAAATAAATGCCATCTAGAAAACACTATTTTTCTTTTTGGTTTTAGTCTTTTTTTTTGGAAGGTGCAAATTCTCTCCTTAGGAAAGCAGGCTACAAACAGCTCATGCCCTACCCTCTAGTACAGCGATTGCTTTTTGGGAGAAAGATAAGGGAATATGGAAGAGAAGAGTCTGCAAACCTTTGGCATGTGCAATCCCACTTTGTCTCTGATGCCATTTATTCTTCCACTTTTACCTTCTCTTTTTCAGTGAAGTTTCTTTGACTGTTTTGGACCATCTTTTATTTCTCCTTCTCCAGGACTGGCTTTCCACTCCATGCTTTATCCGTCACTGCCTGATCTCATCCTATTTCCTGGAATGCCCTATGCTGTTTTTATGTATCGGTGGCTCAGGTATAAATGGGAGAGTGGACAAAGTTCTGAGAGCTCCAGCTGGTCCTTGGGAAAGTATTTTGCGGTCTGCCTTGCTCCTGTCCTTAACTCACCAGAGGTTTGTGAGACTTAGTAAAAGAGTTGCTCTGGGAGTGCAGCGCAGTATCTGTCTCTCATCCTGAGAAAGGTGCTTGTTCTGTGCTGTGAGATGCGGCTATGGATGCCTGAAAAGCTGTAGTGAGCGATGGAGGGTGCCAGCACGTGGCTGGTATTAGGATATTTTCAGTGAAGACCCATTCTTCCCAGGAACTGAGCTTTAGCTAAGTCTCGGCCGGTGTGTTAGTAATTGCACTGCAAGATTCAGTAATTGCAAAGGACTTTAAACCTTTCTGGGGGTGTCTCTTGCAATCAGGATGGCTTTTGTGTTGAAAACAAAATAGGGCCAAACCCAGGGCTTCCCTCCACAGGTGTGACAAACAGGACTGTGTCCTTCGGACGTAACAGAAGTGTGGAGCCAGCCAAAGTACCAAATCGGTTGGTGAAACAACCTCTACGTTGTCTTTTCTCAGCAGCCCTGTTACTGCCTGAAGAGGCACTGCCCTGAGCTGAAGGTGGCGAGAGGCTGGGGGGACAGTATGAGGGGCAGGAAGGTTTCATATGTGCTTGCTCTGTTCCTATACTCTTCCCTGGGCATTTGCTGGGACTAGCGCCAGAGATGGACGTGACCCAGTGTCACCATTCTTAGACTCATTCTCCTGTTGTTCCTCCATATTTTACAGCAGCAATAATGAAAACTGAGGCGTTTAGGCAGTTCCTCTTTCAGTCAAGTCAAAGGCCCTGGCATCTTTGTGACTGACCACCCTGCTGTATGTTGTAGGTTATGTCCTCGAGAGCTTGCAAAAGGTCCAAAACCACCACCTCTTTCTGCAAAGATTTGCAGTGTTGGTCAACAATCCAGGCTGAATCTTCACTCTGGTCCTCTGCTAGGACAGCACATTTCTGCAGCCACTGGAAAGCATCCTCCTGCTGGAAATCATCTTTTTTTTCCCGTGACCCTCCCCCAGGCAGTGAGCAATGGGCTTCAGGTAGAAAGTCAAAAGACCAAAAGACAAACTCTCACCAAAGGAAAAATGTCGCATCATCATTGATTTTTAACTGGGCCATGGCGGTTCATAATCACTTGCAGACCTGCCTGTAATGACTGGTCCTGTGACTGATGAACAGCACAGAATTAGGCAGGCCACGTAAATCCCCTGCCTGTGCTTCCTTTTCTGTAAAATAAGTTTATAGATACTTATCTGTCTCTCACAGGCAATAGTGTGGAGGATAGTGAGTCACAGTGTTGGGAAAGCACTCTTAAGACACAATCCACTAAATCTTAAAAAATAATGAACTTTTCAAAAATCTGAAAGGAGTCAAATAATTAAAGTATGCACCATGAAGTCAGAGTCGCATTG